TGATCAGGTAAATATTTTATTTTTACTTTAATAAAGAGATAACGGATTTCATTAGTTTAGGGGTTAAAATCTTCAAATTTTTTTCTTAAGTTCAAGGAATAAAAATTTTTAATTTTCAAAAATTTTATAATATAAAGTGAAAAATTAAAAATTAAAAATTTAATAAAATAAGAGGTTAAATATATACTTAAACTTTTACTTTTATGATACAAAGATTCCCGCTTGATCAAAGGGTGAAAGGTATGGAAAAATCTTCTAAAGCTTTGTAAACAACCAACGGTATTTATTTATTCTAAATAACATGTGTTTGAATTAATTATATATTGCGTTGGAGTACTCTTTGTACTCATAAGTAATATAAAAATTTTTTTATAGATAAAAAAAGACAAACTAATTATGCCTTTTCTTACAATATATGCTACTTAAGACATATAGAGGTGAATCAAACTCTTACTTATAAATATCATGACATGTATTAATGTTTGATTAATGCCCTAAGATCTGCAAAGTAGTTAGCAAGCCATTGTTTGATGATCTTGACCTCCGTCGCACGCTGCTCCACCAACCATTGTGGATCAGTTTCTGAGGCTGGAAGTATGTCCAAGCAGTGAGATCCTGTGAAATTAAATCAAATCATCTCTTATTTTTCTATCTTTTACAAATTATATTTTGAAAACTAATCATTCAAGTAAATCACAAAAACATACATTGACCTTAATATTGACTAATTTATAATTAAGCATACACAACCACACATTAATTACCATTTTTCGTTTTAACAGCAACGATACTTTTGGATATGTTCTCCAATACCCTGCAGTGTACACAATCCAGAGACAACATAAACAACATTAGAACGCTGAAATTAAAAATTGTCAATTTCTTCTTAATTTGTTAATTTATCATGATAATTAGAGTTATTTATTTATATATCTAAATTAATTTTTTATTACCCTCCACTGCTATAAGGATCTCTAAGCCCATTCGAGAAGATGATGTTGCTGCCAAATCTCTGAAGAATAAATTTTATGTCCTGCAATTAATTAATTATTCCCGATCAACGTTAATCATATTGATTTTATGAGATAAAGAAATTAATTATGAGAAGGGTTAAAACAAATAATTAATATATTTTACATGGCCTCCGTAATAAGAAGTGATCCAATGAGGGCGAGGAGGAACACCATATTTCCTCTTGCATTTGCTCTCGAAGCTGCTTAAATCAAATGGTGATGGAGGAAACATGGTGTCGTTGCCAATCCCTATAGGAATCACCATCTCGCTGCATGTCTACGTATACATAAATTTAATTAAAATCAAATTTAAAATCAAAAAAGTATTTTTTAATATAAATTTATTAAAATATTCTTAATAAATTTCTTTTTATAATATTTAATTAATAATAATTTGAGCACCTTAAACTGCACCTTTGAAAAATATAAATCTCATTCAAAAAATTAATATAATAATTATTTTTTTAATATTAGATTGTATAATAAGAAGCAGTACTCTCGTTTCTTTAATTTACTTTATTTATATGTTATACAATTTAAATTTAAAATATT